CCTGAAAATAGTGCAATTTACACACCTACAAATGCCAAGGGTCATCAACTATCCATCATTTCACTTCAGCTTTCCCATAATGGCTCATATATCCTGTGAGTCCCAGTGTGTCATCCAGTGTCCAATATAGCAACAGTGAGAATGGATGTGTGGGAACAGACACAAAAATATCATCTGTAAGTAACAGTGATGATCAATTCACATTTTCTCTGAGGGCCATCTCCTCTCCCTCAAAGATCTCATTCGGTTCCAGGCTATTTAGATAGGGAGAAATTGTGCCAAGTATTGTTCTCTGATTTCTTATTTTTCACTCTTTCTGATTTCCTCTTGATGGCATATGTATTAATGCCTCTTTCTTAGAGTTTTTCCTCGTTTAGCTTGTTTGTGAGAATAGTGTAAACATTCCTTATTCATAATGTCCTTATTTCCCAGATGCAGCTATTCTTGATCTTGAACATTTTTATATTACCACTTTAAAACTCAGATTTCTTACACAATTTCCAGTTACTCCTTTTGGAAGGTGAGAGATAACTTCTCAATTTGGGAAGTATGTCTATTATTTAGCAAATTCTGGTTTAGATTCCTCTAAGATAAATGAGAATTTAGACTATCATAATCATACTTTTTTTAGTCAAGCCATGTCTGAATGTGAAATACCTTTAGCTTTCCAGTGCTTCTAAAGATAGCTGTCATAAACTTCATATTCCTGCAAAATCAGGTTGCTTTGGAAAGCAATTGAGAGTCTGTGTCTCACACTGCTGTATCCACAACACCTAATGCATTTTCTACATCCGTAAAAAAAAGCCTCATGGGCTTCCCTGGTGGCGCAGTGGTTGAGAGTCCACCTGCCGATGCAGGGGACACGGGTTCGTGCCCTGGTCCGGGAAGATCCCACATGCCGTGGAGCGGCTAGGCCCGTGAGCCATGGCCGCTGAACCTGCACGTCCGGAGGCTGTGCTCCGCAACGGGAGAGGCCACAACAGTGAGAGGCCCGCGTACCGCAAAAAAAAAAAAAAAAAAAAAAAAAAAAAAAGCCTCATAATAATGACTAATTTTACTTGGAAACAGTTTTTCCTGTCAAAAATATTTTTAGTGCTTTGTTTAATCAATGTTCTTGATTCTGAAAACACTGGTAAAGTGGTGTTTAGCATATTTATTAGTCGATTCCATCACTCATGAGCCTCTGGGCATGCTTATAAGATCCTGGGGCTGGAGGAAAACAAGACAGTCATTCACTAAGTTTCATGCTCTAAGAGTAAGTGTCATAAAACCAAGAAATATGCTCTTATCTCAGCGCCAGGAGTTGCTTATAGGGCCAGAATTTTAAAATAAGGAACTGGGCATCACCGAAAAGAGGCAATGCACTTAGAGACCCTGGAGAGAAGGACCAGGCGTCCCTCAAACATCACCAAGTGACAGTTAAGGCCCCAAGAGGACCCTTCAATCCTTGCCTGTCTCCCCTCTTACCCCCTTTTTTTCTATGGGATCCATGACTCAATCTCACTTTTTTTCTTTTTATATTTTGCCAATTTTTCCATTTAGAATATTTCTATTCACTCTCTCTCCCAAAATACGACTCCACAGATAAACCCAGTCTGATTATTTTTCCTTTGGGCCTTGCCTGATTTTAAAATACTTGTTAGCTTTTCAGTCATTTGATCTGGAGGCAAATATACTATGCACCCTAATTTAAGGACAACTTGCTACTATCACTACGGTGAAACAAATAAAGAATGATACATGAGCACATACAAAATTTTAATAATGGAGACAGACCCAGTCTAAAAGTTTCCATTACCTTTTTTCAAGGATTCTGGAAAGTACCTCCTTCCACCTGGAAAATATCCAAAAGGTGGGACAAGGAGGCGTTTCTTTAAAATTCACACCTTCTTCTTTCTCCAGCCAGTGGAAGAGTATTATAGAGTTTGATCTATGAAGCAGTGTGAAATTTCTTATGTTTAGAAAATGAAGTGTCCATGAAATCTGGCTGTGCAGAAGAAGCAGATTTATCTATACCAATGTCATTGTCATTGTTCCTAGTGGCCCAAAGTTAGAAGGTTTCTGGTTACACGATCATAAGGCTACGATCCTAAGTATATGTTTTCCCTGAAGTGACTGTGTGCTGTGCCTCTGGATTTATAAAATTTAGATTAGATCATTAAGGTCTTTTCCAGCTGTAACATTTTATGTTCTAGGTCAATATGGCTGTGCCCTCTTGGAAGAATTTTCTCTCTTCTTGTTCTTTTCATTTTGAAGGGGAAAAAAAGCCTTATTTTGTTTTTGTTTCTGTTTTTTATAAATTTATTTATTTATTTATTTTTGGCTGCGTTAGGTCTTCGTTGCTGCGCGCGGGCTTTCTCTAGTTGCGGCGAGCGGGGGCTACTCTTCATTGTGGTACGCGGGCTTCTCATTGTGGTGGCTTCTCTTGTTGCGGAGCTCGGGCTCTAGGTGCATGGGCTTCAGTAGTTGCAGCGTGTGGGCTCAATAGTTGTGGCTCATGGGCCCTAGAGCACGCGGGCTTCAGTTAGTTGTGGCTCACGGGCTTAGTTGCTCCATGGCATGTGGGATCTTCCCGGACCAGGGATCGAACCCATGTCTCCTGCATTGGCAGGCGGATTCTTAACCACTGCGCCACCAGGGAAGTTGCAAAAGCCTTATTTTGTGACAAGACTTTTGTGAAGCCCCCACTTTATAGAGTATGATAAGTCCCTCCCCTTCAATCCCTCCATTATACCTCTCTCCTTCCAGCGATAGTGGGAAAGTTAAGTCAGCTAAACCCTGTAATTCTAAGCTTTCCTGGCTTTGTATTGTTCTATGGGGTTAAGAACTCTGAACAGCTTTGTGGACATTCTGTCATCTTGTTTCTCCAAGAGGACTTTATTCTTGACCTTCAAGAGTTGAAATAACTCGACAATAAAGTGTCAAGGATTCTGTAGTAACTGTTTCTCTACATTACGAACGGTTGCCGTCAGCACAGAGCTTTCATCAGGCAACATAACAGGGAGCATCCTCACAGGCATACATTTTGACTTTCACTCTGGGATGGTGTATGGGGAGACACAAGCTGGATTTATGCTTCAATATTATTAGATAAGTTTCTGCCAGACATATTTTTTTCTTCAGGTTAAAGCCATCGCAACACAGGCGCTTGAGTTTTATTCATCTCTGAAATTACTCTCATAACCAGTTTGAGAAGAAGATTTAAATACGACTGGATTATTTTTCCTCCAATCACTACTTTCAACCGTGTTCTGTCATATCTCCCTTCCCTGGCAAATAGTGAATCACTTAATGGATAGCCTGGGAGATGCTATCACTTTCTGGTGGCTTTCAGTTACTTTAAGACCAGCCCAGGTTAAAACTTCAGTCTCTGGCATGATTTATAGCTCATCTCCTCCATCACCCCCAACACAAACTTAAGCTGGCACAGTGATTACAGCTAGTTGAGAGGAGCTTAATTAGCTCTGAGACATGGTTTTCCGCACTCGCCTTCCAGAACTAACTATAGAGAGGGTCGGGGAGGAGAGACAAGGAAGGAGACAAGTGCCTCTTGACTTAAGGTAGCTGTTGTCATCCTCTTTGGCTATCACTGTGTCACTGGATAATCACTGTCTGATCATTGATACCCTATGGCAGACATCCAAAGGAGCCAAATACCGGCTCTCTGGTGGATTGGGGGTTCGAGGGTATGAGCTCTTGGGGATAAAGGATTTCAGGGGGTCTCTCTGCTGCCCAAGACCCTGAAGAGGTTGAGACATTCAGCTTTGGCCCCTTCCAACCTCTCATCCCCCACAGCTTCTCATTACTGAGGTTATCTCACTGAGTAGGCAGCCATCTTGGCTGGCATATCAACAGGATGGATCGAATCCCTTTACTGCCTTAGTTTGGGTCCCCAAAAGCATACTCTCAGACAAGAAATGCAGAAAAGGAGTAGGAAGTGAGACAGAGAAAGGAAGCCAGCCAGTGAAGAGTATATTAGCAAGCAACTTACCCCTTAGAGAAGCTGGAGCTCAGTTCCCTGGGAAACTCCAGGAGCTAATATAGAATGTGGGTCTTAGAGTTATCCCGCCCAAGGAGGAAGGGAGACGGATGCTATACAGCCATCTTTGTCAGTCACGAGTTGAGAGTTATTGTCAAGGATGTAAACTTCGCAGCATTTTTGGCCTGTGTGAGCACGGGCAGGGTGGGCTCCAGTGGCCAGAGGAAGCTCTTTGGCAAAGAGACACAGATGCTAGAAGTTGGTGGTCCCCTTCATGGAGCCATCTCCAATCTCATGCCCACAGGTCTACAACTGGCCAGGACTGCACTGCTTTAGGATGCAGATCTATGACACATGCCTCACTCCCTGACTCAGGCGAGAGGGACAGAGACTAGGTGGTGCATTCTCCCCATGGCAGGAGGTGCAGACTCCCAGAGAGGTGGGAGAAAGCACGCAAGGCTTTTTAAGGACTAGCCTTTGAAATCCCCCCTGTCACTTCAATGGTCAAGTCCAGTATTCATAGGGAGATGGGAAGAATACTGTTTCTCCCATGGAAACAGAGCAGGGAGCAGGGGAGGTGACTGCTTGGTAAACAGTAATGCCATCTACCACATATGGTTTCCAAGCATGGAAAAGATTTAAGAATCTCAAAACGGATAGTAACAAATGTCCAGAGAGAACAAAGAAATGGCTGTTGTGCTTGGTGGTTAAAGATGCTATTGATTATCTTCTTTTTTAAAAAATTTTATTATTATTATTATTTTGGCCGCATTGGGTCTTTGTTGCTGCGCGTAGGCTTGTCTCTAGTTGCAGTGAGCGGGGGCTACTCTTCGTTGCGGTGCGCGGGCTTCTCATTGTGGTGGCTTCTCTTGTTGCGGAGCATGGGCTCTAGGCACACTGGCGTCAGTAGTTGTGGCACATGGGCTTCAGTAGTTGTGGCACATGGGCTCAGTAGCTGTGGCTCGCGAGCTCTAGGGCGCAGGCTCAGTAGTTGTGGCACATGGGCTTAGTTGCTCTGTGGCTTGTGGGATCTTCCCAGATCAGGGCTTGAACCCGTGTCCCTCACGTTGGCAGGTGGATTCTTAACCACTGCGCCACCAGGGAAGTCCTGATTACCTTCAAGTGTATACTTTCACTAGAAAAGAGGAGACCAAACTAATATTTTAGGTAGTTATTAGAAATTTTAAAATAATATTAATTTATTAATAAATAATAAGTACTTTTATAATATAGCATTATAATAATTGATGTATTCATTAGAGTAAAATATTAAAAAGTGATAACTGAGGCAGCTGGTGTACGGAACTCTTTCTTAGAGCTTGGCAGAGAGAAAAATGAGAAGATTGGGTAAGAGCCAGAGGAGAGATTCAGACAGTATCACAGAAAAGACATGTGACTTTTTGATGGAAAAGAAGAAAAAACATTATGAAGACAAAAAGAGAGGGGTTAACTGCAAAAGAACATTTCCTAAGTAGGTGGGAGTTCATTTTGGCAAAGAGACCTCTGAGGCCCGAAAGAGAATGCCGAATGTGGTTAACAACTTCAAAAAAATATATTTCTAAGGCCTTTGGGGTAAGATTCCAAACTAATTATTAGTTAAGATAACAATTATTAACCATCGTTAATTTTGTCATGAAAATGAGTATCTGGTATTTTCACTCCCTTTATTTTCAGTGTTCTCTTCTCCTACACCCTTAATTTAACAAATCAAGACCTGAAATAATAAGAATAAAGATAATAAGCTGCATAGTGGCTCCCAAAGATGTCCATATCCTAATCCCTGGAAACTGAGAATATCTTACCTTACATTAAAAAGCAATTTTGCAGGTGTGATTAAGTTAAAGCTCTCGAGTGTGGAGATTGTCTTGGATTATACAGGTGGACTTGATGTAATCGCAAGGGTCCTTATTAGGGGGAGATAGGAGGAGGAGAAGTTTACGTGAAGAAGGTGGAGGAGAGATGGGAGAGATGCAGCCAGGAGCCAAGGAATGAGGACAGCTTCCCGAAGCTGTAACAGGCGGGGAACAGATTCTTCCCTGGAGCCTCCAGAAGGTCCAGCCCTGTCAGCACCTTATTTTAGCCCGTTTTAACTTGTTTCAGACTTCTGACCTCCAGAACTGTAAGAGAATAAGTTTGTATTGTTTTAAGCCACTAAGTTTGTGGTCATTTATTCCAGCAGCCCTAAGAAACGAATCCAATAAGCAGCACTTATTGGGTGCTCCCTGTGTGCCAGGCACTGTGCTAAGTGCTATGAGGTGTCCTGTCTCCTTATCCCGTGTTATAATCAGGGAGCTTGTCCCCAGCTACACAGGTGTTATGTGCTGGAAGTCAGGACTCAGATCTGGACTTCAGACCACATATTGTTGCCATCCTGTTAAGAATCAGAGCCGTACTGTTCTCCACTAAAATGCGCCAGAGCCTCTTAGGGAAATTGCTGATTCTAGAACTGGAGCAGGGAAGACAAGGTAAGACGAGATGAGCCTCAAGCATCTTGCAGTGCCAGAGAGCAAGGAAGTACTCAGAAAAACAAAGATGGCGGCATGTCAAAGGGACACGGGAGCCAACCTGAACATGCTCCCAATGGCCAAAGTTGGAACAATTTGAGCCACAAAATAAAGTAGTATTGGGTTATAACCCAAAGTAGAAAATAAATAGCCAAGCACCCATACAAATAGAAATAAATGATCAAATAAATAAATAGGGGAGAAAGGACATACCTTCCTTATAAAGGGTTCCAAATAATACATTTAAATACCCACCCCCTCCTGGAGGTGGAGTTTAATCCCCCACCCCAGTGTGGACTAGGTTTAGTGACTCATTCTAAGGAACAGAGGATGGACAGGGAAAAGTGGTAACTTTACAGTGGAGAAGCCTGGTGGACAGCACCTTATCCAAGTGGTCAAAGTTAACATACCAGTGATAAGTCATGTGGACATTATGTATCCCCTGAATTGATGTGATGAGAAGGGTACTTCACCTGCTTGGTTCTTTCCTCCAAAATCTGTATCTCCAGTCCAAATTATGAGAAAACATCAGACAAACCCAAATCAAGGAACATTCTAAAACCAGTCTTCAAAATCATTAAGATCAAGGTAAGTGTGAGAAACAGTCACAGACCAAAGAGCCTAGGGAGACTAGGCTAATGGCAGCTAATTCAATGTGGTATATTGGACAGGATCCTGGAACACAAAAAAGACATTAGTGCAAACACTGGTGAAATCCAAATAAAGTAAAAAAAAAAAGATAAGAAAAAGCAAAAAGGGAGTGTGTGGGAAGTTGGTGGTCTGAAGAAAGATGAACTGTGGTTATAAAACACTGTGTTAGTGTTTAGTATTCTTCATTACAAAGCAACAACAATTTGATGGAATATATTGCTCTTTCCCATGTGTCACAGCACCTGAAGAGGTAAAGTTAGGCAGATTATATTCTGCTCATTCTTTTTTGTTTTTTTAAAAAATTTTTATTGGAGTATAGTTGATTTACAATGTTGTTATATATTGTCCTCATTTTACCATATAATTCAGTGCTCCCAATTTATTGGGTACAGTTCTAAACAGATTAGATTATAACATCATGTAACTTGTTTAACCCTTACAGCAACCCTAGAGGGTAGTTACTAGTTTCATCCCCGTTTTCCAGAGGAGGACACGGAGGCACAGAGAGGTTAATTGACTTTCCCAAGTTAACACAGTAAGTGGAGGAGCCTGACTGAGCAGAAGGGTTGGCTCCAAGTCTTGCCCATAACCACTAAGCTACAGTGCTTTAGGTCTTTGGGGCTCAGAGAGCCTAAGTGATTGGCTCAAAGTCACAAAACCAGTTATTTCAGGACTGAGACTAGATTTGAAGTCTCCTCGTTTCCGGTTCAGTGCTTCACCCCTGTTTTCAGGCACCACCATCCACACTCGTTGTTCCTTTTCCAAAGCACAGTGAAAGTCTTGGAATGTCAGGAGCTAATCTGAACATGCTCTCAGGAACCATTTGAGCAACAAAATAAAGTAGTATTGGATTATAACCCAAAGTGTAAGATAAATAGGCATGCATCAACACTAATATCTGTAAATGACGGACGAAATAAATAAATTGGGGAGAAAAGAATTCTTTGACTTTCACTCTACCTGAATAACTCAAAAATAGGTAAGAAGTCTCGATTACATATATTTGTGGTCCCAGGTTGAAAGTCGAACAGAGAGAAAAACTTTGTCACTGGTTTAGTTCCCCGACAGGATTCAGATGATTGTCTCAGAGCTGATGACAATTCACAATTTCTTAGGCTTTGCAGATACTGTCCTGACCGTTCTTGACTTGTTTTTGATCCTTGAGGTTTACCTTTGTTTACACTGACTTTATAATTAATATCTTTTGGCACCCTTGGGAGTGTTACCTTCGTATATGTTCTCTGTAGTTGGATAGTAGTGTTGATTATCACCAGTTGTGCTCTTCAAAATATTTCATTTTAAAACGGAAGAATGGGGGCTTCCTTGGTGGCGCAGTGGTTGAGAGTCTGCCTGCCGATGCAGGGGACACGGGTTCGTGCCCCAGTCCGGGAAGATCCCACATGCCGCGGAGCGGCTGGGCCCGTGAGCCATGGCCGCTGAGCCTGCGCGTCCGGAGCCTGTGCTCCGCAACGGGAGAGGCCACAACAGTGAGAGGCCCGCGTACCGAAAAAAAAAAAAAAAAAAAAAAAAGGAAGAATGTCTTTCAAGGTTTATAGGCTTTGGGAATGCTGTTAAGATTTTTTCCAAACCTTGAAACTATCTTTCTTGCTGTAGTATTCAGATTGACGCTGAAAGATTGCGGAATACTAACGGTGATCATATTTTCTTTAAAGATATGTCAGTATCTCAGGGTTTCTTGGATTTTCATGGAAAGTGGGTTGAAAGTCTTAATTGAGAAAATTATCTCTCGGATTCATGATTTAATTGTATTATGGTCTGAAAATAATCAAACTGAAGAAAAGCATTTCCAAATTTAGTAGCAATTGTAATAAACATAAAATTTGTAAAGGGCATTTCCATTTCCAAAATGTTCTTATTCGTGTTTTCTCCTTAGAGTCTCACAAAACCCAGTGAAGCTGGCATTATTGCCTTTCTTTTTATAGGTGAAGAAATGACCCAAGTTCACTCAGCTAGTTGTGGGCTAAGCTGAGATACCATCATTTCATGTTACCTTGAGTCCTTAAAGAGAGAGGATTATAGTAAGGCAAAATCTTGGCAACGTGTCAATAATCATTGCTTTGAAAAGTACTACATATTAATTCATTCTTCTTAGAGATGCCACTTTCGTCAAAATGACAACCAACATTCACTAGTTTATTATGGTAATAGAGGATGAAATAAAATCAAGATCAGTAATGGCCATTTATTGTGATTTTACCCACATTTCAGAAGTGGGAATTTAAAAAGTCATTGTGAAGCAAATGTCTACCGTAACATAGTGAGATAACAGACCAAATCTCTCAAAGATAAATTTTGTAAAAGAAAAGATCACAGTGCCTTAAAAATACCTAGCATAAAAATTGATATTCAGTAATTATTTTTTAAAAATAGTAAGTGATGCATGGTGAGGGTGGGATCTTCAGTCTTGGACTCCAGCCTCTGGGACTTATTAGTTGGGATGTTTAATAGGGATGATAGAATCTTCCTTGCAAGGTTGTTGTATTAGAAATGAGAAATTTTATTTCCCTTGCCTAAGACACTATCTGGCAGTCAATAATCATATTTTTGTTTATATTTTTATTAAATCATTGACTGTCCAGCTACCTGATTTAGGTAATCTATGAATAAAAGCTTTCTTTTCCCTGGAATAGAAAATGTCAACCTTGAGATTTGTTCTTTCTCCATAGTTGCTACCACCCAATGCTTTCAAAATTAATGTGCCAGAGATTTACTTGTTTAATGCTCATAAAACCACTTCTTATTCTATTTACTTGGAAATGAATTCCATGGAGGGGAAAACATCAGGCAATACGGCAGGAGGAGAATTTTCTCTAAATGTGGTATCAAGGAAGTGTGACGAGTATTGAACCAGCAGGTACTTCCGATGAAGAAGTACACGCTTTTCAAATAATGACAAAAGCCACATGAAGCAGAACAATAGACACAAGTCCAACTTGTTGAACAATCTGAAGATGTAGAAGTAAAAGTTCAAACATATTCAGCCTCTGCCTTCACACCTGAAAGGAGTTTTCTTCCAGTAACCATGGTTACTTTATGTACTATTCAAATACTCATAAAGTGAAAGAGATGAGGGAAGAGTAAAGATGAGCCCTACTAAGGCAGGGACTGGTAATACAATGGAACTTCCTTTTGCTTTGAAGATTTAAATTTGGATAGACACTGATCTATGCAAAAAAATTTTTTTCCCTTTTTCTTTTTTTAAAGAGTTTATTTATTTATTTATTTTTGGCTGCTTGGGTCTTCGTTGCTGCGCATGGCTTTCTCTAGTTGCGATGAGCGGAGGCTACTCTTCGTTGCGGTGCGCAGGCTTCTCATTGCAGTGGTTTCTCTTGTTGCAGAGCACGGGCTCTAGGCACGCAGGCTCAGTAGTTGTGGTTCATGGGCTTCAGTAGTTGTGGCTTGCGGGCTCTAGAGTGCAGGCTCAGTAGTTGTGGCTCAGCGGTCTTGGTTGCTCTGCAGCATGTGGGATCTTCCCAGACCAGGGCTCAAACCAGTGTCCCCTGCCTTGGCAGGCGGATTCTTAACCACTGCGCCACTAGGGAAGTCCCTGTTCTAGTTATTTCTGTATGTGTATTTTACACATTTGATCAGGTAGATAATAATGTCTTATAATCTAAAAACGCAAAACTTCTCATAGAAAGATAGTATACTAACTGGTGGTAGGATACTGGAAATAATATGGCAGTAATCAATTAAGCATAGCATATCAATTGTAAGAAACACTACAAATCACAGTGTTTATGAGAAGGACACACAATTACAGTCAAGGATAAAAAAAAATACAGGAACTCTTCCCCAGCGTAAAGCAATAAGTGAGTCCAAAAAGCTGAATTGTGTTGCTGCATGATGAATGGATCATTTGCTGCAAGCCTGTGCAGCTAGCTGACCACAGACCCATTCTTTTTTTTAATTAATTTTTATTGGAGTATAGTTGATTTACAATGTTGCATTTGTTTCAGGTGTACAGCAAAGTGAATCAGTTACGCATATACATATATCCACTGTTTTTTAGATTCTTTTCCCATATAGGTCATTACAGAGTATTGAGTAGAGTTCCTGTACTATTAGAGTTCCCTGTCCTTATTAGTTATCTATTTCACAAACCCATTCTTGTCCTTGCTCTGGTTTAACATCACCTGGTGACAGTTGTCTGCTCCAGCTTAAATATTGATGGGGATGATTCTGGGTTCCATGGATGATTCTAAGAATCCTTCTGTTATATGGTACCCCTTTTGTTAACCCAGTGTATGAAAGTTGATCCAAGAGAACACTCAGGTCACAAGGGCATACCTTCCACTTCTGCTTCCCAAAGTGACGTTCCCTCCCATTTATTTTTCTAACAGATAACGATTTTAGAACGGCCCTTAATATTAGTTGAAAGTCCCACTAATATTTCCTAGTCAACTCTCCTACTCTCTACAATGTCTAGTTTTCATTTTAAAAATGATTGAACTGAAGCATCTGCATGGTGAAAAGCAAAGAGGACTGGAGAGCTTATGAAGAAAAAGAATAATCTCTTACTTCACCCCATACTACCATCCAATGATATTCCTTGATGGGACTCTTTAACCATTTCTATTTTTAGTTCTTCTAGTGATGAGTTCTATAATTCTAAATAATATTCTTGACTTACCAGTTATGATAATTTCACTGATACCTGTAGGAAATGTGAGAATTAGCTCATTATATACTTTCCTCCACCTGTTTCCCATATCCTACATCCAATGTTTATAGTTATGTTATTATTGTAAGTTTTTCTTTTGGTTACTTTTGTAATTTTAAATAATGTATTTATATCCCTGTTCTTGTTCCATCGATTCCAAACTTGATGTAAGATAACACTATTATGTTCCTGAAAAAGGGGAGATTAGCAACAGAAAACAAATAAAACAAACATTAAAAAATAGAAAAATGATAGATTTAACCCCAAACATAAAAATAATCACAGTATGTGACTTCCCTGGTGGTCCAGTGGTTAAGACTCAGTGCTCCCAATGCAGGGGGCCTGGGTTTGATCCCTGGTCAGGGAACTAGATCCTGCATGCGTGCCGCAACTAAGAGCCCGCATGCCACAACTAAAGATCCCGCATGCCGCAACTAAGACCCGGTGCAGCCGAATAAATAAATAAATAAATAAGCACAGTAAATGTAAATGGTGTAAACACTCCAATTAAAAGACAGAAATCATGAGATTAAATAAACAATCAATACCCAACTGGGGGAGAGGATAGTTAGGGAGTCTGTGATTTCCATGTACACACTGCTATATGTGCTCAACATTATGTAACAACCTAAATGGGAAAAACTGAATCACTCTGCTGTACACCTGAAACTAACACAACACGGTTAATCAACTATACTCCAACATAAAATTAAAAGTTAAAAAAAAAAGACCCAACTATATACTGCCTACAAAAACATCACTTTAAATATTAAAATACAAATAGCTTAGACGTAGAAGGATGGAAAAGATATTTCATGATAACCCTAATCAAAAGAAATCTGGAGTGGCTATATTAATATCAAACAAAGTAGATTTCAGAACAAAGCATATTACGAATGATAAAAAGGCAAGTTTCAAAATGATAAAGGCATTAATTAATCAAAAAGACATCATAGTTCTAAATGACCTTAGACCTAAAACAGCTTCAAAATGCATAAAGCAAAAATTGATAGAACTCCATGGAGAAATAAATTCCCACAATTATAGTCAGAGATTCTAACATATCTTTCTCAATAATTGATTAGAACAAGAAGCAAATCCACAAGGACATGGAAGACATAACATGATCAACCAACTTGACCCCTTGACAGTTATAGAACAAACTAGTCAAAAACAAAAAGTGCACATGAAGCATTGACCAAGATAGATAATATTTTGGGCCAGAAAACAAGTGTCAATAGATTTTAAAGGATTTAAATTGTACAAAGTGTATCATCTGGTCACGATGGAATTCAATGAGAAATAACTAAATATATCTGGAAAAATCCCCCAGATATTTAGAAACTAAATGCATTAGTTTGCCAGGGCTGTTGTAACAACAATGACAACAACAAAAACGAAAACTGTGTGGCTTAAACAAGAGAAATTTATTGTCTCACCGTTTTGGAGTCTAGAAGTCCAAAATCAAGTTGTAGCAAGGTTGCTTCCTTCTCAGTGCTGTGAAAGAATCCAGGATCCCTTCTTTATTCTTTTGTAGTAGCCACTTTCTTTTCCTTCTCACCATCTATTTCTCATGTCCCACGTTTCAAGCAACCCTCTATTTCCATTGGAGACCCATGGGTTTTAGGTGCACTTACTTGTCTCTCAGACCCGTGAGTCAAACATGAATTCAGACAAGCTAGTCAGAACATTTCATCTTTCTGGCCGTCTACTCATGGGCAGGCGCATCTCCTATGCCTGTCCAATGGAGTGAATCTCAGGACTTTTGGGGGGAACTCTGAAACACAAACCCTTTCTCCTTTGCATACCACAGTGGTATGCAAATGTGAAGACTGGATCTTCTTCCACAGTTTACCCTTATGGTGAAAGGCTGTCTTGGAAGAGCGCTGACTCCTGAAAAAGGGAAGGGCTGAGGGGATGACAAAGAAATGGAACCAGAGCCCTGCTCAGACCACACCAGAAGCATGACATTTAGTCAGGTGAGCTCTCTATCTCTACCACAAATTCAGCAGATAATTTTTCCTTTTATTTCAAGGAGGAAGAAGAAATTATTAAACAGCCCATCACCAGATTTGCAAACCAAATTTACAGTGGTGGAATGTCTTTTCCTTTCTAAGCCTCAGGTGTCTCCCATGCTCTGGATCCCAGGTCTTTCTCTCTCTCCATTAACATTCAAAGTCACTTACACTTCTCCCAGTTAAAAATCCCTCGCTCTATCCAATTTTCATCAAACAGATGGTCTATTTTTTCTCCCTCTTCTCACCCAAACGTCACAGAAGGATGCTCAATACTTTCCATTTCTTCACTTTCCTCTCACACCTCACGTTCTGATTCCACAACTTCCATGTGATCAAAACTGCTTTTACCAAGATCATTGGTGACCTCCATGTTGCTAAATCCAATGGACAATCTTCAGACTTCTGACTTAACAGCTCACTACCTTTGACAATATTGTGCTCTCTGTCTCTTCCTTGAAACTCTCTCTCTCTGTGGTTTACATACACCATGCCTTTCTGGCCACTCTAAGCCCCTCTTCTTTTAATCAACTCTTAAATGTTAGAGTTCCTGAGACACTGACCCTAAGCCTGCTTCTCTTCTTCATTCTTACTCTCTACCTGAATGATCTCACCTCTTGCCATGGCCTCACTATTGTCAGTGTGTCAGTGGCTTCAGACTGGTTCTCTCTCATGAACTCTAGATGCATTTATTATCTCTGGGGCATGTTAGGCTAATTGTATCTAAACTTGAACTCATCACTTTTGCTTCCAAAACCTGCTTCACCTTCAGGGTTTGTATCTTAGTAGATAGCCTTCCATAATGTTGTCCAATGCTAAAAGCAGAAACCTGAGAGTCAAAAGTTGATGACCACCTCATCCTCTATCAAGTCCTATCATAGGAGTAAGAGAATGAGATAACCATACCATACGAGGTTATGAACTGAGAGCAGTGCTTCAGAGTCCACGATTTTAGAGGTGGAAAATTTTCAGGCAATGTTATGTTCCAAAAGGTGCCTAGGAGTTTAGAAGCCTTAAGTGGATGGGGAAGTGAAGATCATAGATTGAGAAGGTTAAGGCAGCTATGACATTAACTTGTTGGAAGTGTCTACATCATTCTAGAAAAAGCTTAAATATCTGAATACATTTAATTAAAAACAAGCATTAGTTTTGCTTAATTAACATTCCCTCAGCGCAAATTGTTTTGCCAGCAGTTAGTGGACACATGGTTCTAAATGATTTCCAGCAACATGCAAACGAATTCTGAGACAAATAGAGACATTCTATACAGTTAAACTTTAAACTGCATACTTCTTTTTTCCCAGTTAGGAGAAAATGATTTTTTTCTTTTTCTCCTAACCTTGCCCATTGAAGACAGAACTAATTTCAAAGCTCTGGTGTCTTAGCAACCATAGCTGATTCAAACACTTAGCGTGGGTAGTACATGTGCGTTTCTGGAAAGATTTGAAGTTACTACCTAAACTTCCCAGAGAATGTTTTTAAAACGTATTTAAACAGGATAGAGCAAGGTGTTTTAACAGAGATAAGAGTACTTTCATCTCAGTAGTCATACCTTGTACATAATCTTCATGACAAATCTACTCCAAGTTTCTTGACTTCCCACTCTTACCTGGCTACAGTGGTAGAACACGTTGGCTTGCTCTAATTCAGGGATTTGCATTCAAATTTGGTCTTCTGTGCCACTCACAATAAAATGTTAGTAAATTGTTATTCATTACAACACTGTGTTTTTCTAGCCACTATACTGGTTGGTGCACAAGTACATTCTGACTAAAGACTCACTCCCTTGTTTGGGATTCAACTTCTACACTTCTTAACTCAAGAGCCACAAACTTTGTTGAAAAATCTCCTGTCACAGTCAAGGTTATTAATTATGGTGGTAGAGGAAGCTGTCAAAAAATAGCACAGTAAGCTGTTTGTGGGAAATTTAGTCATGGCCGCGTGTTTTGTTTTGTTCTTTTCCCAGGGCAGAAATACACATTCATGTAATTGCTTTCAACGTACATCAGTAAGAGGAAGGTCAGAAGTTCTCAAGTTTGATTTTTGTATTTACCCCATAGGTTCCAACACTTAGTCAGGGGCTTTCAAATTGATGGAATTTGATCTATTTTCCTCCAAATAATGAATGTCATAGGCGCTTGGTCAGTAGTTTAAGGAAATTAAGAAAAAAACAGCCTTACAGGCAATGCAGAAAGAGCACAAAGAACCAGAGAGAGAAGTCAAGCAGTTTTCAAATAAGCTTGAGGATAGAGCTCAACCCTGAGGAGGAAATTCATTAGAGAATATAAAGTTCCTCCCAGATGTAAGAGGTTTCTGGGACCATTTACAGTCTTTCGGCTCTATTCAGACACCAGTTTTTCTGTTCCTTTCATCCCTAACTGGAGCATCTTCCAATCATCCTCTGTTGATAACTCTAACTAAATAAAATCAGTGAAATTCCCTTAGTCTCCCTTGGTTCTCTTCTGCCTCACCTGGTTTAAATCATGAGCTCTCTCTAGCACAAGCCCAAGTACCCTAGGCGTCCATTAAATATTTATGGCATAAATAAACTCATCTTTCTGAAATACCAGTGAAATAAGTTTCTTTAACGTTTTATCTTGTGATACAACATACAACATGTGCATAAGACATAAATATTTAGTTTAACAAATTATTGAAAAACACCCATGTGTCCTCCCTGCAGGTCAAAACATAAAATGGCATCTGCCCCCTAGAAGGCCTCCACCTGTTTCTTCCTGATCACAATCCCAAACTACCTCCTATTGGAGACCGTTATCCTGACTTCCACTGTATTGTTTTGCTTCCTTTGGAGTTGTGCATAATTATTATATAGTTATATTATCATTATTGTATAATAATAATTTAATTTGGCCAGTATTTGAAATATAAATATATTAATAGGATCATACAGTATGTAGTCTGGCTTCCTTAGCTCAGTCTTCTGTGCTTAAGATTTATCCATGCTGTCATATGGAGGTGTAGTTCATTCATTTTCTTGCTGTAGAGTATGGTGTGGACCTACCTCCATTTGCTTACCAGTTCTACTGTTGAGTTGTTCTTATTTGGAGCATCTACTAACAGTGCTGTTGGGAACATGCTAGGGCATGTTTCCTGGTGCACATAAGCGTGCATTTCTGTGCGATATAGAGAGCCAGAAATAGAATCGCTAGGTCATAGTCTGTACACATTTTCAACTTTATTGTCAGACATTGTGACAATATTGTGATTTTACACTGTTTAGTCCCATCAACAGTGCATGAGAGTTCTCATTGCTCCACATCCTTGTTAATATCTACCAAACCCATATATGTAAAAAAATCTTGCCATTCTGATACACGCGTATTATCAGATGCCACTCTGATGTGTATGTAGTGACATCTTGCTGTAGTTTGAACTTGCCTTTACCTAGTAGCCAATGAGGTTGAACACCTTTCCATGTGATATTGGAATGTGCCTCTTCAGGTGGTTTTCCTATTTTCCCCTTGCATTGTCTGTGTTTTTCTTATTCATTTGTAAGAGGTCTTTATATATCAATAGGAGGTTGATCTTAATCTTCTAATTTGCCCTCACCAGGCACTGGACGTGCTAATGTTTACATTTTATCTGTATGTACTTTATGGTATTAATTTCCTTGATGGTTCACAGTGGGCTATCTGTAAAGTTGAAAAAGATTAAGATAATTAAGCTAAAATCTATTTAATTTTCAACATACCTTCCATTTTAATTCTTACACAGTTCTATTGTCAATATTTTCCTTTCATTTTCATTATTTATAATGAAATGGTTTACTTAGCAACCATTTTATCACTTGGAAGTGTCTATCAATCAGTCCAACTAATCTTTCCCAAGTACAGGACAAATTAAAGTATATTTCTCAATGGAACCATGTTTACTAATACGTGTAATGATAAACTGAAAGTGATAGTATTCTAAAGTGATTAGCACATAGTATGAGCTCAATTGCACTAGTTATTAGATTCTATTTAAGAATAGCGTTAATATTACCTTCCTAAATCCTGATTCCTTAAAAGTAGATAACCTATATCTCGTGAAAGTTTTAGGAAACAGAACTTTGATTAACCAGAATACTTTATTTCATCTAAAATATTGCATAACTGCACTCTCATTCAAAATCTAGAAGAGAAAAATTGTTAGTCTTTTATATCTGACTTACAATATTTCATTTTAATACACCTTCAACGATCCTGTATCTTTGCAAACATTCTTTCTATTTTTCCTCCTCCTGAGCTCTACCAAAAGAGGAAGCATTTATCTGAGAACAGTATCAGTTCTCTAGAGGGCTTGGTTTAATATGGAACCCTGCGTCCTGTGGTTCCATAACAAATTGCAAAAGGATATTTGCATAAATGAAAACATAACTCAAATTCCAATACATTACAAATTTCTCATCATTTTGCAACTCATTGGGCCTAAAAATTGTAAGACTAAATGAGAAATTTTAGTATTAGCTGTAGAAGGCAGTTTCTGGCAAGTCTCCCTGAAGAAAAAGAATTCTAACAGAGAAAAATATTTCTTCTGATACTTTCTGAAGAATTTCTGTTTGCTTTAGAACCCACTTGGGACAGAAAGACACCAAGGGCTCCAGTGATCAGTGTCTCCTTGGCATCATTGGAAACTGTGCTGGAGGAAACTTACGGACTCCAGAACCTCCCTCTTTAGCAGTTACAGCCTAAGTGGCCCTCTTAGGTATTTTACAAAACGTAAATGCTCAATGCTTTGATAGACACCCTCAGTCTTAGAGCACTGCAGGATCCTTTCATCATAAATGGTCTTTGAAAATCAAAGGTTCCCCATCCTCAATGTGAAGACCCATGAGGCTAACATCTGAAGTGCTTTTGTAACTTCTTCTAACTTACTACTTTAGCTCTAGGGCACCAGAATTGTGATTTCTCTTCCTTTTCAGAGAACACATTTTACAATGGATTTAAATATTATGCTCTCATACAAATTCAGCATGACAGAAAATGTATAGAGACTCTTTGAAGGCTTCAAATTTGATGGGATCCTTTCATGAACCTGATGGAACTGGATGTTAGCAGCATAATCTATATTTCTGCTTGGAGCTGGAGTCTGTATACTGTGATTATATTGGGCCAGACTCTAATAGGATACAGACCTTCTACTAAGAAATGACTGAACTGTGAGAAGCTATCTCTGCTGAATTTGCATTACTATTCTAGGTGTAGATATGATTTTTTAATAATGAAAAAAAATGTAATGACCTAAATACGTTCTGCCCATAGCATTCATGAATTACCAAGTGAACATGGAAATGGAATACTGAGATTATTGATTTAAGCAGGGGTGCTTTGTAAAAAAACAAAAAATTAGATATTTCGTGGTAAACAACTCACCTACACCGCTGACCGCTACTGGCATATATCAAGGTCCCTTTTACTAAAAAGCACAGAAAGCCTGCCTATAAAACATGCCTGGGGGCTTCCCTGGTGGCGCAGTGGTTGAGAGTCCGCCTGCCGATGCAGGGGACACGGGTTCGTGCCCCGGTCCGGGAAGATCCCACATGCCGCAGAGCGACTGGGCCCGTGAGCCATGGCCGCTGAGCCTGTGCGTCCGGAGCCTGTGCTCCGCAACAGGAGAGGCCACAACAGTGAGAGGCCCGTGTACCGCAAAAAACAAACAAACAAAAACAAACAAACAAACAAAAAAACATGCCTGGGAGTGTCCACATCTTAAAAAAAAAAAGAGGAGGGACTTCCCTGGTGGTGCAGTGGTTAAGAACCTGCTTGCCAATGCAGGGAACACGGGTTCGATCCCTTGTCCGGGAAGATCCCACATGCCGCAGAGCAACTAAGCCCCTATTCCACAATTACCGAGCTCTGTGCTCTAGAGCCCACGAGCCACGACTACTGAGCCTGCTTGCTGCAACTACTGAAGCTCACGTGCCTAGAGCCCGTGCTCCACAACAAGAGAAGCCACCGCAATGAGAAGCCCGCGCACCGCAACGAAGATTAGCGCCCGCTCACCACAGCTAGAGGAAGCCCACACGCAGCAACGAAGACCCAACGCAACCAAAAATAAATAAATACATAAATTTATTTTAAAAAACCTCTAACCATTATTATTCATATTTCTACGTATAGATAAGTTAGGAAGGTGCCATCTTTGCTTGTCAATAACGGTCAACCATCAGGGACTTCCCTGGTGGTCCAGTGGTTAGGACTCCGCACTTTCACTGCCGAGGACCTGGGTTCAATCCCTAGTCGGGGAACTAAAATCCCACAAGCCACGTGGTGCAGCCAAAAAAACAAAAAACAAAAATGGTCAACTATCAGCACTTTCATACAGTTCAACCTAACACACACCACGAGAGCCCCTCTGATCTTGGGGTCTGGTGGTTTACCCTTTAAGGCTTTGATTCAGTGAGCTAGAAGCCGGCACCTGCTTTCCTGACCCTTAGCTACATTTAGAATTCTTGGAGCCTAAAAGTATTTATCACCTTGTACTATTTCTTGTGAGTAAGGCTCTTCGTGTCAAATTCCCCTTGTGAGGACCTGGGCTTTTGCTGCCCTCATCAAGGGGTGGGCAAACTATAGCCATGGGCCAAATGGGCTGCCACATGCTTTTGTAAATAAAGTTCTTTTGGAACACAGCTATGCTCATTCATTCATGTATTGTCTGTGGCTGCTTCTGCACAGTAACAGCAGAGTTGTGTAGTTGCAAACACTGTGTGGTT